TTGTTTTATAATGTGATATTCAGTAAAAATTGTGATTTATTGTTTTCTAATCTTTTCGAAATTTTTCCGTGTCCCTGCGCTAAACCTAACTATAATGCCGGCCATGCTGTGTCGATTAGTTTAATTCTGGCCATTTTGCTGTGCATTAAGTCACGTGTATGCTGTGTCCCCTTTAGCGATCCCCCGTTTTTAGATTTTTCGCCGGGCTGATCCGGGATCATCAAATTTTCTATAGCTTGATTCTCCGCTTCAGACCGTACAATCATTGTGTAACAAATTGTGTATTTATGTAACGGTAACTGATAATTTTTCATTTTTAAATTCTTACATAACTTTTAATTTAATATGCCGGCTACAGAGTTGACAAATTATGGCTTTCATGCCGAATATAACTCTTCTATTAGTGCCGATGAACTTTTCGTTAATCATAGTATCCCAGAATTACGTGCTCTTGAGAAAAGAACAAGGTTTGCCAAAAATTATTTATAAAAACACAAAATCAGCCATTCTACTAAAAATAAGAGGTGCTACTATGTAATAGATCCGATATTGAGAAAAAAAAACAGGAATTAAGGCTTATGGTTGGGTAAGAACAAGATCAACAAGACTTAATTCCATTTTGACTATCATTCAAAGATCAAATTTATTTTAATTATTATATACTTTAAGTGAACGATATCGTGATTTGATCGATGCGGCTGATAGTATAGTTAACATGCGTCATTGTGCTTTATCCATTCAAGAAGAATTACATCATATGCAAGATTCTTGTGATGTTCAAGCTTTGAAACGCACTGTTAAAGCTCAAATAAATGAAGATAAAAAGGGAACAAAAGGTGTAATTTTTAATTCATATGTGATTTCTTTTCTGTTTTTTAAAAACTTAAAAATTTCTGTTTAATTTGATCAAGATGAAAAGAAACATCACCTATATTCATCAGCTGCACAAATCAAATTATTGGTTGACGTTCCAGAACAGGTTAATAACAATTTACACACTTTGTAATCTAAAATTATGTATTATTCTTATTAATTTAGAATTAATATTGTTTATAGATTTGGCGATCTCTAGAAAGCCATAAATATCTAAATGCTAGTCGCTTATACCTTATTGCTAAGTTGGTGTATAAAAATCTTCAAGCTCACAATGAAGATTCTCCTTTCAATGTGTCGGTAATAGCGTAAAAATATATATTCTTTATCTTTTTCAAACTATTTCAATTCACCTCGAGTATTAAAGTTTTTTCCAAATATATAAAATTTCAGGTGACTTTTCCGGTTGTTCAACGTCAATGGGATGCCGTCAGTCACTTTAAAGCTCAAATCCTTCAAAAAGCCACGCTGTATTTAAAAGTCATTGAACAATCTGAGCAGGTTGCAATAATTAAAATTATTAACTTCTTATATCTCTGATAATTTGGTTCTTACATTGTTGTTTGTATCTCCATTTAAAGAGCCTGGCAGAAACACTTTGTGCAATAATGTTGTTGGACGATGTAACAAAAAAAGATGTATTTCGTAAATGTCTTGATATGCGAACATCGGCGTTGATACAAATTTTAGAAAAGTCTGAAACAAAAGACACAAAATCAATGGTGGAACAGTTTAAGGAAATGATTCGTCTTATTAGAGGAACTGTTTATCATGTTGGTTCTGTTTTCATTAGTGCAGACAATGAACAATCGTTATTTGAATCATGTCTGCATCAATTACAGCAAGGGTTCACAGTTTATGAGGATTCAGCACAGCCATCTCCTGCCCTGGTATCACCACGTGATTCAAAAGCTTCTTTAACCCGTCTATATTCTCCTTCAACAAATATACATCTACTTGTACGTTACCTTCCTGAATCGATTCAAACATTTACTCCTTTTTTACATGTGTCTGGTACACGTGGCCAACTTTCACAAGAAGATATTACAGCACGAATGAATTTGTGGATAGATCAAATCGTTGAACAATTTCATGAAAAACTCGATGCTTTGTTATCAAAAGTACCTTGTGCAAAAGAGTTACATGAATTACGAAGAATAATTTGGGAAATCTTAAAAGAGGATGAATGCGTTAAAGATAAAGATCAATCTTCGTCTAAAAAGTTTCCAAGCAAAGTTCATAGAACTAGTTTGGGGTTTGAATTAAACATAAAAAAGACAGTTTTGTCTTGGTATCTTGTAAATATTAAAATTTTCTTCCTTAATCGGCTTACATGAGTTCTATTTTTAGTAACATTATATACTAATATGTTGTATAGATATGCCATATTGTTTTTCACAAACCTTTTTCTGTTTGGAATGATTTGTTAAGGAATGGTTTCAACAAACGATTCAAAGACATTATAATATCATCGTTTGCTGAATTATCTAACCAACCAGAGAAGTTGCTTAAGAACGAGCTGTACAAACTTGAAGATCCCAATAATGAAGGTAAAATCATATATAATATTTTATAGTTTATACGAAATATATTCTTATGTCCATGTTCAATTAACAATTAGAACGGCATCTTGGAAACTTTATCTGGGCGCATGGGTCCACATTTTTTAATTCAAAGCCTTACGATAGTACTGAATCAGTTTTCATTAGTGCAGACAATGAACAATCGTTATTTGAATCATGTCTGCATCAATTACAGCAAGGGTTCACAGTTTATGAGGATTCAGCACAGCCATCTCCTGCCCTGGTATCACCACGTGATTCAAAAGCTTCTTTAACCCGTCTATATTCTCCTTCAACAAATATACATTCTTTATAATGAGAAATTATATTGTTAAAAAACTAAGCATTGGAATAAATGTAAAACAACTTTAGGTTTTAA